AGGGATAGGATACAGAGGGACCTAGACAAATTGGAGGATTGGGCCAAAAGAAATCTGATGAGGTTCAATAAGGATAAGTGCAGGGTCCTGCACTTAGGATGGAAGAACCCAATGCACAGCTACAGACTAGGGACCGAATGGCTAGGCAGCAGTTCTTCAGAAAAGGACCTAGGGGTTACAGTGGACAAGAAGCTGGATATGAGTCAGCAGTGTGCCCTTGTTGCCAAGAAGGCCAATGGCATTTTGGGATGTATAAGTAGGGGCATAGCGAGCAGATCTAGGGACATGATCGTCCCCCTCTATTCGACATTGGTGAGGCCTCATCTGGAGTACTGTGTCCAGTTTTGGGCCCCACGCTACAAGAAGGATGTGGATAAATTGGAGAGAGTCCAGCGAAGGGCAACAAAAATGATTAGGGGTCTGGAACACATGAGTTATGAGGAGAGGCTGAGGGAACTGGGATTGTTTAGTCTGCAGAAGAGAAGAATGAGGGGGGATTTGATAGCTGCTTTCAACTACCTGAGAGGTGGTTCCAGAGAGGATGGTTCTAGACTATTCTCAGTGGTAGAAGAGGACAGGACAAGGAGTAATGGTCTCAAGTTGCAGTGGGGGAGGTTTAGGTTGGATATTAGGAAAAACTTTTTCACTAGGAGGGTGGTGAAACACTGGAATGCGTTACCTAGGGAGGTGGTAGAATCTCCTTCCTTAGAAGTTTTTAAGGTCAGGCTTGACAAAGCCCTGGCTGGGATGATTTAATTGGGGATTGGTCCTGCTTTGAGCAGGGGGTTGGACTAGATGACCTCCTGAGGTCCCTTCCAACCCTGATATTCTATGATTCTATGAATTGTAATAGTCAAGTCATGATGGGTGGGATTTTCAAAAGTGCTCGGTATTGGCTTAAATCTGCTCCCTTTGAAGTCAATGGTAAAACTCTCATTGACTTCAGTGGGACCGGAATTAGGCCAATGTTGCAAAAGTTTTGAAAGCCCATCCAATCTGATCTATACCGTGAAATAGAGTGCTTGAAAATAGAGGGAGTTTTGCTTTTTACGTAGTTAAAATCTGCTAGTTATATGTTGAAAATAATATTGATTATATTTTCCGGATCCTTTTTATAAGCTTGCTATAACCCATAAATGCTCTTTCTCCATGCATTATTTTCCTTTTACTCCTGTCGAGTCACCATTAGAAGGAAACAACATTATTTAGTCTGCTTACATTATTTAGTCATCAAGACTAGATGAGATTTATTACAATATCTTGAACAAAGAATTGTTTATATTTTCTGTGTGGATGCTGAGAATCACAAAACACTATATGTGAAAACTATGCTGTCAAGCAATTAAAAAAATTCATCATGATTAATCACATGATTAAAAAAATTAAGCATGATTAATCCCACTGTTAAAGAATAATAGAATACCATTTATTTAAATATTTTTGGGTGTTTTCTACATTTTCAAATATATTGATTTCAGTTACCACACAGAATACAAAGTGTGCAGTGCTAACTATATATTATTATTTTTATTACAAATATTTTCACTATAAAAATAAAATAGTATTTTTCAATTCACCTAATACAAATAATGTAATCCAATCTCTTTATCATGAAAGTGCAATTTACAAATGTAGAATTATATAAAAAAACCCTGCATTCAAAAATAAAACAATATAAAACTTTAAAGCCTACAAGTCCAATCAGTCCTATTTCTTGTTCAGCCAATCGCTCAGACAAACAAGTTTGTTTACGTTTGCAGGAGATAATGTTGCCCGCTTCTTGTTTACAATGTCACCTGAAAGAGACAGTAGATGTCTGCATAGCACTGCTGTAGCCGGCGTTGCAAAATATTTACGTGCCAGGTACGCTAAAGATTCATATGTCCCTTCATAGAATCATAGAATATCAGGGTTGGAAGGGACCCCTGAAGGTCATCTAGTCCAACCCCCTGCTCGAAGCAGGACCAATTCCCAGTTAAATCATCCCAGCCAAGGCTTTGTCAAGCCTGACCTTAAAAACCTCTAAGGAAGGAGATTCTACCACCTCCCTAGGTAACGCATTCCAGTGTTTCACCACCCTCTTAGATATTAGGAAAGTTTTTCCTAATATCCAATCTAAACCTCCCCCACTGCAACTTGAACTTCATGCTTCAACCACCCTTCCAGAGGACATGCATCCATGCCAGTGACGGGTTCTGCTCATATTCATTTTCTTCATCTGAGTCAGATGCCACCAGCAGAAGGCTGATTTTCTTTTTTGGTGGTTCAGTTATGTAGTTTCCGCATCGGAGTGTTGCTCTTTTAAGACTTCTGAAAGCATGCTCCACACCTCATCCCTCTTAGATTTTGGAAGGCACTTCAGATTCTTAAACTATGGGTTGAATGCTGTAGCTATCTTTAGAAATCTCACATTGGTACCTTTTTTGCGTTTTGTCAAACCTGCAATGAAAGTGTTCTTAAAATGAACAACATGTGCTGGGTCATCATCCGAGACTGCTGTAACATGAAATATATGGCAGAATGCAGGCTAAAACGGAGCAGGAGACATACAATTCTCCCCCAAGGAGTTTAGTCACAAATTTAATTAACACTTTTTTTTTTAATAAGCATCATCAGCATGAAAAGCATGTCTTCTGGAATGGTGGCCAAAGCATGAGGGGGCATATGAATGTTTAGCATATCTGGCACGTAAATACTGTGCAATGCCTGCTACAAAAGTGCCATGCAAATGCCTGTTCTCACTTTCAGGTGACATTGTAAATAAGAAGCAGACAGCATTATCTCCTGTAAATGTAAACAAACTTGTTTGCCTTAGCAATTGGCTAGTAGGACCGAGTGGACTTGTAGGCTCTAAAGTTTTACATTGTTTTGTTTTTTGAGTGCAGTTATGTAACAAAAAAAAAAAATCTACATTTGTAAGTTGCATTTTCATGATAAAGAGATTGCACTACGGTACTTGTATGAGGTGAATTGAAAAATACTATTTCTTTTGTTTAGCATTTTTACAGTGCAAGTATTTGTAATAAAAATAATAATATATAGTTAGCACTGTACACTTTGTATTCTGTATGGTAATTGAAATCAATATATTTGAAAATGTAGAAAAATATCCAAAAATATTTAATAAATTTCACTTAGTATTCTATTGTTTAACAATGTGATTAAAAGTGTGACTAATCATGAATAATTTTTTTAGCATGATTAATTTTTTTGAGTTAATCGTGTGAGTTAACTGCGATTAATCGACAGTGAAAATATGAAATACAGTATGCCATAAACTGAAGTTAATCTATAATGACAGAATTTTGAGTGAAATTCTAAAATCCCACGTAACATCTGAGTAAAAGAGTTTTATGCACGTATCCTGCTCAAGAGCTAGAAGTCTGAAATGCACCCCAACTTGAGGGGAAGACAGGCCTGGGGGCCATAGTGAATCATCTCACTATCCCTGCAATTGATGCCCCAGCCTATGGGGTTTAGTAACTTCTGCAGTCCCTCCAGCCATTGCATTAATGTAAACATAGATCCAATAGCTTGCTACTTGACCCACTCCACATTTCCCCTTCATGCCAGCATATATGGACTGGCATGAAGCCTATATATCCTGTGCTAAGTATACTAGTGAATAACAAACAAAATCTAGCTATTACTACTGTATGCAACTGATTCAGTGCAAAAATTAAGGATCTTGATTTTTTGTGCTCATCTGTGTGCAAACACCTAATAAAGGGTTGGGGTTTTTTTTGTTCCAACTGTGTATTGCAACCACTCAACAACTGAAATATTTAATATGCCAAAATTATGTGAGGGAATAAGACATATATGATATAGTTTATACAGACTCTAAAAGTTAACATTATTTTTACTGACTGTGTAGGGGGCCAGGTCTGTCTTGTGATGTTTTCATCCCCATTAAGGGCCAAATTAAGGTTTGCCATGGAAAACCCCACCAAAGTGCAAAAGCTGGGTGGAAATGTCCATGGCTTTAAACCTATGTAGTTTCTTCCCAGTCTTTCTGTGATGTAGTAGGGCTAGTCTCACTGAGCACAGAGAAGAAAGAATAGCCCTCTTAGCCCATGGGTGTGAGGAAAGCCAAGGAAATCTCTTAATGATGTTAGGGACTCAAAGAAGGCCCAGTGCCTCTGCACGACTACTTATCCCACCTTACCCTTTGGCCCTTGTCAATTTAGCTCCCTCAGGAACTGTACTCCCATTGGTTCCCTGAGCAAGCCTGAGTTAACATGCACATATAGGGGGGCAGGAAAAGCCATTCACAGAAAGTAAAAGGGGCACAGACAGAGCTAAAGTAGATTCATTCAAAAATCATTTAGGAGCCCTAAATTTGCATAAAGAAAAAGAAAAGGCTCTTTTCTATGGTATGTCAGACAGCTACATGTCTGAAATATGCATGCCAAAACAGGCTATAAACAGTTGTCACTGTATATTCATTGCAGCTATTTCAAATGTTAGGCCAAGATTCTGCAATCTAATTCACACAAGTGAACTTCTGCTCCTGTGCTGAGGTCCACTGACTACAGTGTTACCCACATGGGCTCCCTGAGTGGTTCAATTTGTAGAATGAGGGGATAAGTACTTTATATGTTTTTAAAGTATCAGAATACCTGCTCCATATTGCTGATCACTGACTTGCCAAATTTAATATCTGAGCAATACGAGGGTAAAAGAAGCATCTTACACTGGTAACATTTGTCTTTCATTTTTTGTTTATCCTCATAGTTTAAAAACAGACATTATTTAATTTTTGCTATTTTTATAAGCCATCACCCTCAGACTGACTTCTCATCCTGGTTTCTTCCTGGATAAATGTGTTTACTGCAATGAGTTATAACTTCCTGAAACATAAAGTTTGTAATAAAAACACTGACAATGGTAACAACTGTATAACCTTCTGTTGTGGTTCCCCACTGCAATAACAGAGCAAAGTTTAATCTAGCTCAAGACCTTAGACTATAAAATAATTGGTATTTTTTTCCTTGCAGTTTCTGCTTTGTGGTATATGTGGAATACTGTGTGCCAAAAAAAAATCTGGACTTGTCGTAAGTTTTTGCACTGCATGCATTATGCATAAGTACTTGAAATGTAAACTGCTGTAACTTGAACTCTTCACCATAGAATCATCCTTCATTTCCAAAATGTTGCTGATAAACAAAATTCAATGCAAAGTAAACACAGGCTGGCAAAGAAAAACAATCAGCCCTTTTGTTAATACAGCAAAAGGAGGACATTTTAAAATGGTCTATAAAGTCATGTCAAAAAATGTAGCCCCTGTAGTTATGCCTGTCTCATAGATTCATAGATATTAAAGTCAGAAGGGACCATTATGATCATCTAGTCTGATCTCCTGCACAACGCAGGCCACAGAATCTCACCCCCCACTCCTGCGATAAACCTCTCACCTATGTCTGAGCTATTGAAGTCCTCAAATCATGGTTTAAAGACTTCAAGGAGCAGAGAATCCTCCAGCAAGTGACCCGTGCTCCATGCTACAGAGGAAGGCGAAAAACCTCCAGGACCTCTTCCAATCTGCCCTGCAGGAAAATTCCTTCCTGACCCCAAATATGGCAATCAGCTGAACCCTGAGCATATGGGCAAGACTCATGAGCCAGATACCCAGGAAAGAATTCGCTGTAGTAACTCAGATCCCACCCCATCTAACATCCCATCACAGGCCATTGGGCCTATTTACCATGAATATTTAAAGATCAATTATTTGCCAAAATCATGTTATCCCATCATACCATCTCCTCCATAAACTTATCGAGTTTAATCTTGAAGCCAGATAGGTCTTTTGCCCCCACTGCTTCCCTTGGAAGGCTATTCCAAAACTTCACTCCTCTGATGGTTAGAAACTTCGTCTAATTTCAAGTCTAAACTTCCCGATGACCAGTTTATGTCCATTTGTTCTTGTGTCCACATTGGTACTGAGCTTAAATAATTCCTCTCCCTCTCCGGTATTTATCCCTTTGATATATTTATAGAGAGCAATCATATCTCCCCTCAACCTTCTTTTGGTTAGGCTAAACAAGAGCCTGATCCAAGTCCCATTAAGATCAATTGAACGATTCTGAATTACTTCAGTCGGAGTTGGATTGGGGCCTTTCTGACCAGGACCCCATTCCTGCGAAGTAATATGTGTGTGCAGGATTAGGCCCCAGGGTTACCGTGCCAAATTGATCCCAGAAATTTTAGCTGTTCACTGTTTTTAATTTCAAACTGAGTCATGAATAAACCAGTTCTAAAATAATTGCAGATGTTTTCTGTTTCATATAAGAATCTGAAGTATAATAATCTTTCTGACTGCAGACAGATGGTATAATTGCTACAAAAGCAACTGCAGAAATATTTTATCTGTTAAAAATATGATCCTATTATAAAGCCCAGTGTTAAAGCTTATTTATTGTTTAAGTTTATTTCAGTATTAAAACTGGCTTTAATTTTCTATAGGCCTGACTTTTCTCTTATGTACACAAGAGTGAATTGGAACTAACTCCATGGAGATATGCTCATGTAAATCTAATATAAGTGAAAGAAGAATCACTCTCTCTAAGGTTACTTTTGAGAGTCAATGAACTATTCAATTTCCTATAAGAGTGACTGTCACTTTTTAAAAAAAAGTCTGAGGACTTCTTTATTGTGTGGAGCATCCCAACCATGCCTGATCTTTATAACCCCCATTTCTTTTGTCAAATCTGGTGGGCTCATAGATCAAAAGAAACAATCCCTTACTGGTGGACCATGAACAATAGTTTGAGAACTATGTTCTTGTTAAAATTACCATCCCATTGGCACACAGCAATGATCCACTGAGTATTGGTGGTCCATGGAGCGGTTCCAGGAGCTCCACAAAGTTGCTTCCATCACTGTGGTAAAATATCTTTGTCTTCAAGCAGTGACACTTCCTGCTACTTTTAGCCCAGTTTAGATGTTTCTGGGACCCCTAGAAGAACTTTCTGACCAGCTAAACTTAAAAAGTAGCACTTCACTGCACCCTGTATGGTTGCTTCAGGTTTTTCTTTGTCAGTTTTTTCACTTGTTTAAATTCAACCATGATTACATTTGCAGATTGCACAAAAGCTGCAGGAGGAGCAAACAAGGAGGCCAGGACCAAACTGCAAAAATTGACCTGAAGAGATTAGAACAGGAGGGGTGGGTTGGGGGCACAGACAAGCAGGAGAGATTCAGTAACAATTCTACTAAAGCATTGCACTCAAGCAGAGGAAATAAATGGCACAGATATGGAGTCTGAGTCTGATCTCACTGTACTTTACTGATTTAACTAAGATCAAAATCAGCCCTTTGAAGTTTAGGCTAGAGTTTTGAATATACAACTGGAAGGAAATTAGGAGGCCTGAATCCTAGTCCAGTTTTTCCATTGATCAGCCATCACCTTGGGGAAGTCACATTACCTGGCTGTGCCTCATCTCTAAAATATGGATAATGCTTACTTCCTAGACGCAATCGTTATTGGGGTTAGTAATTAAGGTTTGTAAAGTGTTTTAAATTATGTGTGCTATAGAAGCACTATTTTTTATTATTATAGTCAGGCTAACTTTCAATCTGAGTGAACATGTCTGTGACGGTAATCTCTGAATGTGTCTGTGACATTGCCTCTCTTCTCTCTCCTAACAGATGATCCTTTTTTCAGCCTGTTGCATCTGCGGACTAATTGGAGGAATATTAAATTTTCAGTTCCTTCGTGCTCTGACAAAGAAGTCCTCCACGCTCTATTCTTTGCATCTTACTTCCATGTCTCTTGCATGCATTGGAATTGGAGGTTGCACACTTTCTTCCTGGCTCACTTGCCGGCTAGCCAGCTATGAACAAAGGAGAATGTTCTCTGAAAGGGAGCATTCCCTGCATCATTCCCATGAAATGGCAGAGAAAGTGAGTTGGGCGCCTTTCCTTATTTGGTCTGCTTTTCTTACAAAGCAACTGTATGTGTTAACATATGCAATTATATAGTGTTGTTATAGCTATGTTGGTCTCAGGATAATAGAGAGACAAAATGGGTGAGGTAATTTCTTTTAAGAAGTTGGTCCAATAAAAGGTACTACCTCACCCACCTTGTCTCTCTAACATATGAAATAATTGGCACTAAGTTCATTCAATTTTCAACTACATATGAGGAAGAGCTTCTGGGAAATAAAATGTTACCATTCTGTATAAGCTTTATTCTGTTGCAGTATATGTAGTTATTTTTAGGTGGTTCATCTTTGCAGTACATCCATTTCAGTGAAATGCATCCATTTTCAACATAATTCCATTGTATAGCTATTCAAAGGCCTCGCTTCTAAATATAGCACCTCATAAATAATTGAAAATCTTAGTTATATGAATTATCATGTATTGTACTGGGGAAAAAAGCACAGAATGCTTTCTGCACCCACATCATTTCATGTTTCCAGGATTTAATCAATTCTTTCCTCTCCCTTCCTACTCAGTTTAAAAAGCAGGCTATGTAACCACAAAGGCCACAGTTTTCAAACCTGAATTACTAAAGTTAAGCACCTAGATCCATATTTAGACACTTAAATAAATAATCCTGTTTTCAGAGGTACTGAGCACTTACAGCTTCCACTGGTTAAAAGAATGTTGTTGTTTTTTTAATGTAGGTGCCTAAATAGGGATTTATGTGCTTTAAATTTAAGGTTGAAGATATTGGCCATGAGGAATATAGGATTCTTAAAGCAATCTAATTAGTGTAAGGATATGCTTCTTGCCCTGGGAGTGAAATATTCATTTTGATACTGGGGCTTCTATAAGGGCAGGGTGCCCTATTCCTTTCATTCCAGAGGTATAGTGTTTATAGAGCAGGGGATCAGGAGTCAGGAACACGGGTACTATGCATGCCTTTACAACTGACTCACTGTGTGACCCTGCCCAAATCTGCTCTGTGCCTGTTCACCTGCCTGCATTATATATACCACCTCCCGCAGAGGTACATTAATTCATATATGTAAAGCTTTGTGAGATTCTTAGATAAAATGTGATGTAACAGTGAAAAATATAATAAAGGAAAATGGCTACTTTTCAGCCTGATCACTATTCACTACTTTCTTAACTGAGATTAGATTCCATGCAGAACTATAGCCTGGACTCACCTAAAAATGGTAAGAAAATATTTGCTACATTTGCTACATTTTAAAAAATTGCCACAATTATATATTGCTTTAATATGACTAAACTTCATTATTTCTTTAGAATTCTGTATGTAACAGTCAAATGCACCTCCTAAATGTCCCAATTATAATAATAATCTCTAATGCAGTACTTTCTAATATGATAATAAAACATAATTTGACTCAAATAGTATCTTTCATGCACACTCTTTCACAAAATCTTTACAGAGTTAAATAGCGTAGGTACTACATTAAAATAATGTACAGAGAATAAATTAAAGGGGAAGAAAAGATAAATTTCATACAAGACAAAGTCAATGAGGTAGATACAGGAAGACTGTTCAAGGTAGTAAGAGCTGCAAAGAAGAAGGCTCTTGCATCAACAGTGAGAAGAGGACAGAGAGGAGGCCCTATGCAAGATAAGAACAGGGAGAGGAGTAGAGAAAGACCATGCCTGAAGGACAAATCTTTCAAAGTACATTAAGCCCAGGGCATGTCTTTTAAAAGAAGGGAAGGCAATTTAAAAATTAATAATAAATTAGGCCCTAATCAAACATATATTTAAAGTGTTTTATATACAATAATATTTTGTATATTATATACTGATACAGTAATATAGACATGTACTGTTTGTGCTATATTTATTGTATAATTGTTATATTTATATTAGAGATTGAGGGGTATTGAAATAATCAACCTGCCCAGCTGCCCGGTGGTTCCCCCGACACCAGAGTTACCTCCAAGGTATGCTGAACTCTAGGCAGCTACCATGTTATGTCATGTCACTTCAGAAAGTCCCACCTCTAAGAGGAAGGCATAGTTTCAGCTAATCAATGTTGGCTGATGCTGTGATGTCACTCCCAGAAGTACTGCATTCAGGAAAGGTACTAACAGTCAGTGAAATAATTCTACATGGTGGAGTGCTGTGATTTGGAAGTAAGTCAAGTATTTAAAATATTCACTCTAGTTGTAGACATCCAAACAATCTTGTTTGGATGTACCCACTGTAAGTTCACATCACTTCTAATTTATATGCTTCTTCATGCCTTAAATCCAACACAGCTTTTAAACTTAACTATGGTTTTATTGTTTAGAATAGACATGTCAGGAAAATGATGATTGTGAATATTTCATTCTGAAATTATAAGTACATTCAAATAGCAAATGCTGGCAATAAATTAAAGTGATAGAAATGGGAAACAGAGGCTTTCACTTCGTGGGCACTAGCTCACACGTAACCCAACTGACAGAGCATTACTATCATCTAGATCTGTGAGACTCAGACCTCAGTGGTTCAGAAGCCAAATTAGTGATCAACATTACTCAAAAGAGCCACAGTAGTGTGAATTCATTGTTTCATTTACTATAGTACCATATATGCATATTTGAACAGTATGACTTGGAACTATTTAGTTTATATTATTTTCACAGCAAAATGACTGCCCATTTTATCAACTTTATTTATTATTTTATCAACTACCATTGGTTAATAGCCTAGTAAAAGCATCCTGATTGGCTCATAACTTAAATTGGTTAATAATCAATTCACACTGTGTTTTAATATCATGTGCTGCAAAGAACACATTAAAGAGCCACTTGCAGCTCTGGCGCCTCAGTCTGAGTATCACTGATCTAGAGGTTGATTGATGGTTTATGTGAAATGGCTTTGGTGACCTCAGCAGATCAGTATCTACATCACAATAACCACTTCCAGAGCTCGCATTAACTGGCACCCTTTGGGGGCATCTCAGCAGAGAGGCCAAGGTCTCCATGGACATGGAGACTTACCATTTCATTCCTGCTTAGAGTGCCCTCCGGGTATGAGTGGAAGCACAGTGGCAGGACAGTGTGAGGAAGCTTGCACTGCTGCCACTAGTGCTGCATATCTGTTCCGTGGATGAAGAATGCCCGTCTCTAGGGCAGTCAGTCTAGCACCTTTCGTAAGAACTCACGTGAAAAGAATGTGGTGATTTTTCTTTTTATAATGTGATTTTTTAAAAAAAAAAAAGATAAAAGCTTCTCTGAATGTTGACATTCAGGGCTTGTTAAATACTTACTAGACCATGAGGTAAATACTTTTTCAAGATCAATAAAATAATTTTAATTTTGATCAGTCCTTTTTTATTCTTGTTACAGGAAATGACAGACAATATGAGCAATGGAGGACCACAGCTGATTTATAATGGAAGAGTGTATGAAAAGATTTAAAAGTTAAAGGGAAAAATATTTTTATGATTTTCTTCAGGACAAACAAAGACACCAGGAGACTGATATGAAATGGAAACAGTCTTGACTTTTATTGCTAGAATTTCAGAACTGCAGAACAGCACAGTTGCATTTAGAAACATACCTGAAATTTCTCTCCCAAGGATTTTGTGGATATACAGTATTTATTCACTCCACCTCTATTCCTTTTTTTCTTTTTGTCTGCATAATGTTCCAGAATTATTATAGCACTCAAGATAGACTTTTCAGACTCTTCTTCTCATGAAGACTTTTTAAAAAAAAACGATTTAAATGGAGAGGGTTTAACCAGAAGATTGTACAGTGGAGAGAGTGCAAATCAGACTTGTAAAAAGCTTGCATTACACATGCAGAGTCCAAATGAGTGAAAGATGAGAGTGCTGAAAACAACACTGATGTCTTTGTTTTGAAAGACAGAATGCTTTAAGAATTCCTTAAATCAAAACCTCAACAATGCCTTGTTGTAAAGAAATTGTAAATATTTCCAATTTGTGAATGAAGTATATTTCGTAATTTGTTCATAATAGATGACAAATAAAATGAAATCTAAAACTGAGAATAATTCATTTTTTCTTGTTAGAAAGATGTTAATCTGGATCATTGTATTTGCATATTTTCACAAAATATCAAAATGTCCTTAATAGGGGGTGGAGCACAAACAAGCTGGAAGACGGTGAGGGTGGAATGGTGGAATGGCTAGGGCAGAACTGCACCTTGGCAAGTCTGCATGCTTACAATTGCCCCTGGGGGCTATTGAAGCAATGGTACATCTCAAGGGCAGCACTCAGCGCTAACCTAGTATGTTTCTGGGACCAAACAGGTCCTCACAGACCCTTTATAGAGGAGGCATAATCTGCACCATAGCATGTATAATAGGTGTACATATATGGCAAGCAGAAAAATATACACAACATATTTTATAATATACATGTATACACACTTGGGTACTATACATAGACAGTGCATGATTGTATGGGGTGATGTAAAAATCCTCAGCATGAGTTTGATATGGTACATTTGTGAGTGGTGACAAAATATAAGTGAGTTATGTTGGGCTTCCCAAATGATGGCAAATGGAATTTTTAACCCACCCCAGAGCATATACTGTAGGTATCATGTGTTTTGCAGAAAATGAATTAAGGAATGTTTTAGCGTTTTTAGAAATTTTATTCATGCTATTTAAAAAAAATCCCTCCATTATAAAGCCAGGTGCCGTAGTTACCGGAGTGCATACATAAAAGGCTCAGAGGGAGCCATAAAAACCTCTGAAATGATGTAATATAGCTTTCTTTTACACATAAAAATATCACAGCCTTGAAGTCTCTTAGCTTGAGATATTCTAGGGCATGGGTGGCCAACCTGTGGCTCTGACTCCAGGGCTGGAGCTACAGGTGGGACCATTCATGTGCATAAAATGAACACCTGAATACATTTTTGCAGAGTAAGTGCCTAAATGGGCATCTCAGGAGCATCTCAGTGCAAAGGAATCCTGGCAGGCGTAGAACTAGAATAGATAGCTCTGCGGAACTCCCGCTGCACCCAGTATAAGGGGAGTTACTGGGGCAAGGTAGGAGGGAGATGGAGTGTGACAGAGGAGCCTCCAGAATAGGGTTGCCAACCTTCTCATTGCACAAAACCGAACACCCTTGTCCGGCTCCTGCCTCACCCTTTCTCTGAGCCCCCCCCCCACTCACTTTCACTGGGCTAGGGCAGGGGATTGGGATGCGGGAGGGGGTGAGGGCTCCAGCTGGGGGTGAGGGCTCTGGGGTGGGGCCAGAAATGAGGGGTTCAGGGTACCCAAGGGGGCTATAGGCTGGGGCAGGGGTTGGGGTGTGGGAGGTGGTTTGGGGTGTGGGTTCTGGGAGGGAGTTTGTGTGTGGGAGGGCTAGGGCCGGGAGTTGGGATGGGAGTGGGGGTGCGGGAGGGAGTTTGGGTGCAGGAGGGGTTTCGACCTGGGGCAAGGGTTCAGGGTGCGGGCTCTGGCCAGGCAGCACTTACCTTGGGCAGCTCTCAGTCGATGGCACAGCGGGCCTTAGGCAGACTCCTTGCGTGCCCTGGCTCCGTGCTCTGGAAGCAGCCACCATGCCCCTAGGCGGAGGTGAGGCCAGACAGCTCTGTACAGTTCATGCTGCCTGTGCCCGCAGGTGCCAACCCCACCCACAGGTGCCATCCCTGCAGCTCCCACTGGCCGTGGTTCCCAGCCAATGGGAGCTGCGGACGCAGTGCTAGAGCAGGGGCAGCACATGGAGCTTCCCTGATCGCACCTGCGCCTAGGGGCCGCAGGGACATGCTGGCCACTTCTGGGAGCTGCGCAGAGCCAGAGAAGGCAGGTAGCCTGCCTTAGCCCTGCAGTGCCGCTGACTGGACTTTTAATGTCCCGGTAAGTGACACTGACCAGAGTAAGGGTCCCTTTTCAACTGGGCGTTCTGGTAAAAACTGGACATCTGGCAACCCTACTCCAGAATCCAGATCAGAACTCTGTGACTTAGGCTTGTCTCTAGTTATTAGATTTGGGATGACTGCATTATTTAGGGGCAGCAGGTTCCTAAACTTTTTAGAATCCCAAAACAAAACCAACAACCATCTATATGAAGCAGTGACACAGTGAAGGTACAATATCTTGTGAGTCATCAGAACTAGAAATAAGTGCTTTATCCCACTGGAGAGCAGCTGGGAATTTCTTATGCTATAAGGTATTTTGTTTCAATCCCTGGAAGGACATGAGATCTCAGACGTTAAAATCATGTCATTATTTTGAGTAGAAAAGCTATTTACTTATTTTTGGAGGTTTATAAAAACAGAGCCACTGATCCTGCAAACACATCCACACACACTTATCTTCATACATGTGAGTAGGTCCAGGTTAGGACTGCAGTTATAATTTTTCTTTCCCTGGGACTGTCATTGTACTAAGGTAGCCTGGCTCTACGGATAGAGGATTACAAATAACTAAATAATAGTCCCACAAAGATATATTAAAACATCTTTAAAAATTCAGGAATAGATTTTCTGTCAAATATGCCACATAAAACCAAAAACAAGGAGGTTTTACTTATACTTTATGTATAAAGTATACTTTACTTATAAAAGTTTTTACTGACACTTATTTTCCATGTTTTGCAAAACTTACTTGGGCCGTTGTCACTTGAGGAGAATAATGCAGCATTCTAAACTCATGCTCATAAAACCTTTATACCACATCACATTATTGTGCATGTGGTCTGTGTGTATCTATAAATAAAATACATGCACACACACAATTTGAGTTAGGGTGTTTTAGTATTGCATTTAAGCTGTCTAGTGTCTAAAGCTATTTTTACTTGCCGTCTAATAAAATTAGTTACAAAATGTGGGCTGCAGAACACAGTCACTGAGAAATTATATTACAGTTTTGTAATTCAGATATAATTCATAATGCCAGTCTTGCCAACCCCAGACATTCACAAATCATGTGTCAGGCCTTAAAATATCATGAGATTGGTTTGAAATCATGAGGGTTTGAAATCATGAGGGGTTTTTTTTTTTCCATTGCTTTCTAGTGTTTCAGCCTTTACCATTCATGTTTTCAAGCCTCTCTCTTCACCCAAGAGGGCTAGACACTTTCTTCACATTTTAACATAAAACTGAAATTCTTGAATAATCACATGACTACAGAAGGCTAGACTTTAAGAAAAGCACCAAAGGTTGTGAGACTCATGATAAAATCATGAGAATTGGCTACACTGCAATACAAAACCTTTAATCAGATATTATACACTAACTATAGTAATTAATTAACTAATTAATTCTTTAAGGAGAAGCCACTTGGTAATGGTTCTGTGAGAAGGTCCTGCTTATGACCTTGAAAAGGATTGTTTTAAACTTTGAGCCAAATTTTCAGTTGGGCCCTAACCTCGCTTCCACTAGCCCACAACTGTGCACCACACTTTGAGTACCAACAACTATGTGTGCAAGTCATTAATACACACAAGACCATCACCTCCCAGCCTGGTGGTGGGTAGTGGTGGTGGAAGATCTAAGGTCCCTAGACCCCAGAGAGCACCCATTTCCTCAAGTTTTGCACAGGAAAGGCAGTCCTAGAGGTTGTCAGCTATCTGAAGCCTGGATCCCAATCATACAACGGAACTGCACAGTTCTGCTACTTTGCAGGGCATAGGCACTTGCAGAGATGTGTGTGCGCGTAGGTTCTGGGAGGCGGGGGGCAGGGGAGTATAATTAAATTGCTCTTTCTTACTCTGCTGCCAAGTCTGTAGCATGTAGACAAGCGGGCCAACGACTACAATATGAGCTTTACATTGACGCCTTTTATGAAAGCCTTTGAAATGCAAAACTGGTGATCAGTAATTGACTATGTAATTGAAAAGACTGCATCTGTCAGAGAAATACAAAGAGCTGCAAAATATGTTTAACAAGCTCTTTCTGATCATTTTTTTTCTTACTGGTTGGCTCAGCTGACACTACTGACTGTTGTCTGGCTTTTCAGTACATGTGACATACTAACTAAGGCCAAATTTTTAAACTTGGGTGTCTAAAAGTTAGGCATCAAAATCCATTTTTGAGTTCCTAAATAAGTGGCATTATTTTCAGGGATGCAAAAGCACCCATAGATTTTGATTCAGTTATTCCCAATTAACATTGGTGTAAAAGTAGATTCAAGCCTAAGGTATATTCAACATGAAAAGCTCTTCCCCTTTCACAGCAATATAAAACTTTAGGCAAAGTTCTTAACCCCAGGAGGGTACAGGAAGTAAAGAAAACAGTACTATATCTGAGTGACTTCTATATTTGTCTTTTCTATATTCCAGTGACGTGTCCTATGAGGCCCTTGTATACCTATCTTGGCCCCATAACATTCCAGGAAAATTGGACTAGGATTATCCAGACAGAACCAGTCTCTAAATAAAATACACAGTAGATTTTATAAAATACAGTTTGATTAGAATGAACATGCTAAATCCATCAGTTTTTATGAGACAGATTTTTGACCTCTAGGTGTATTTGAGAGGCTAGATTAAGGACCTCAGTTAGAGGGAGAAACTCCAGAGGAGATAGAGGAGCCCTTCAGCAAACTGGTGAGATGCTGCCAGAGAAAACTAAAGAGGAAGAAATTAGGGACTTTCAAAGAAGATGTTCCTAAACTCAGTAGAGCTAGAACTGATTAGCCCCTACTGTAGCCACACTCAGCCACAAGGGGGTGTTTGGGAGGCAACAGTGCCCTTTCTTCAGGCCCCCCAGACCCACTCACTCCACTGGGTTCCAGCTCAGAAACAGACAGAACCAGTCCTTCTCAGTCCCTAGCTATCCTGGTGCTACTTCCTACTTTAGAGTCTTCTCCAGCCTCCTGCCTAATTTCTTCCTCTTTGGAGCATTAATTTTCTCTGGCAGCATCTCACCAGTTTGCTGAAAGGCTCTTCTATCTCCTCTGGAGTTTCTCCCTCTCACTGAGGTCCTTAATATTTTAGGATTAACAGGTCCTTTCCTACCTAGTTAACCGCCTCAGTGAGTTAACTACTCCCAGGTGAACCCGAACTGCCTCATACTCCCACATGGACCCTG